GTGTGTGTGTGTGTGTGTGTGTGTGTGTGTGTGTGTGATCAAGAATACTTGAATTTTGTCAGTGGCCTTGTCAGAATCTATGAAGATGATCCTCAGGTTGCTTCTATCTCCATCACGCCGATGGATTCTATTTCAAGAGTTCCTAATAATGCATGTTCCCGGCATTCTTGAAATAATCCTTGGTTGGCATTGAGATGTAATTCTTTGAAGATGTCAGACTCCTTGGGTTCAAATCCTTGTTCGGCATCTGTGTGCCTCTTGAGCATATTCGCCATTCTATCTGCCTCTTAAGTTTATCCCAAACCTCTCTCCATTTCTTTTATATCCTTATGAGTAATGGAATCATATGGAGGTTCAACCAAAAGGTTTTTGAGATGCACCAAAGAATCCATAGTATGTGGACCAACACACAGCCTTAGAATTGGTGAATTCATATTCATTGTAGGAATATTCATTTGTAATGAATGTGTGCATTGCCTTTTTAAGTATTCTGTCTTTAAGAGTACCTCTATTTGCAAACTTGGTTGTTACTGGTTTACCATTTAAAAGACTACGCATTTCTTAAGAAGGGGCATCAATGAGGTGTGACCAGAGTATTAGGAGGAGGCTCCTGTTTAAAAGAAGTTAGGACTCACTGACTGGTATAGTAGCCTCTGGAAGCTCTGGTTGAGTACAGAGAAATGTCTCCAGTATAAATTTGACCATCTCGCTGTCTCAGACAAAGACTGTATTCTTAAGAATAAAATAGAACAAGTATAGAATAACGATCTTATATGTTTCTCATTTTTAATTTCAGCTTTCAAAAATGAAAAAAATTAAAATTATATTGGGGGCTCGCACAACTCTTATCACAATCCCTACATCCATCCATTGTATGTCAAGCACATTTGCACATTTGTTGCCCTCATCATTCCCAAAACATTTGCTTTCTACTTGAGCCCTTGGTATCAGCTCCTAATTTTTCCCCTCCTTCCCCCACGAACCCTTGATGATTTATAAATTATTTTATTTTGTCATATCTTGCACTGTCCAATGTGTCCCTTCACCCTCTTTTCTGTTTTCCATCCCCCATGGAAGAGGTTATATGTAGATCCTTATAATCGGTTCCCCCTTTGCACCCCACCTTCCCTCCACCCTCCTGGTATCGCCACTCTCACCACTGGCCTTGAAGGGATCATCCGTCCTGGATTCCCTGTGTTTCCAGTTCCTATCTGTACCAGTGTACATCCTCTGGTCTAGCCAGATTTGTAAGGTAGAATTGGGATCATGATAGTGGCGGGAGGAAGCATTTAAGAACTAGAGGAAAGTTGTATGTAATGAATTTTAATTGCTCCAAAATACAATATGTATTTTTTTTAAATATAGCACTTTAAATCTAAAATTAAAAAAAAATTTTTTTAATGAGAATTCTTTGTCAGCTAAAAGAATGATGGAATGATTCCTGTCTTCTCCTCCCTGCCACCAAGGTATTCCCATCCTGTTACTGAGGAAGCTGTACTCCTTGAAAATCTGTGTTGTAAATCTGAACCTCTATTTTGAGACTAGGACCCTTGGTGGCAGCTCGGGCACTGGACGTGGGTTTACAACTGCACAGGGGTCCTGGTGGTGCAGTGGGCTGCAGATTGCATTGCTAACCACATGGTCAGTAGTTCAAACCCACCAGCCACGCCAAGGGAGGAAGCTGAGGCTGTCTGCTCCTGTGAAGATTTACAGCCTTGGAAACCCACAGGGCGGTTCCCCTCTGTGCTACAGGGTCAGAAACGAGTCAGAAGTGACTGGTGGCGTCTCCTGAATGTGGCGCCCTGGTGGCCTAGTGGGTAACACACTGGACAGTCGGTTGACAGTGAGGTTTTTAAATTTTGTTTCATGCTTGGGATGATAACCCCATTGGGAATGGGTTGTCTTTTTTTATGTTCCTGGGGTGGGATTAGTGTAGATTATGCCTTGAGATAGAAGAGAGATTCAACAAGCAAACAAAAATCGGGGGAGGAGAAATGCCATTCCACATGAAGACCACGTAAGAGCAGAGGCCCCAAAGAGACAGGGAACCTTCTTCAGGGCCAACCGAGCAAGCTTTCCCCCAGAGCCAGCACCCTGAATTCAAACTTCTAGCCTCGGAAACTGTGAGAAAAGAAATCGGTGTTTGTGAACGAGATTCCTGTGATAGCAACACTAGAGAAATGAGACACATAGCTACTGCTTTCTGTAAGGAAGAGGGAGGGAAATACCTCCGAGTCTCCAGAAATGAATTGGTCACAAGGGGCAATGCGAGCCAACACCAGGGAAGAGTCATTTCATTCTTAAAGGAGACACAACTTGCAAGTCAGGAATGCCACTGCAGTAAATCTGTGTGCTCCCTTGTCCTTGTGGAGCTCAGAGTCCTGGTGGTATAGTGGTTACGAGTTGGGCTGCTAGCTGCAAGGTCTGCAGTTCGAAACCACCAGTTGCTCTGCAGGAGAAAGACTGTACTCTCTACTCCCATAAAAAGTTAGTCTCGAAGGGTCACAAGGAAGAGACAGAGTGCCGTATACCACCGATGAAATATACAACTTTCCTTTAGTTTTTAATGCTTCCTGCCCCCCACTATCAATTCTACCTTACAAATTCAGCTAGACGAGAGGATGTACACAGGTACAGATCAGAGCTGGAAACACAGGGAATCCAGGACAGATTGAGGACCAATAATGAGAGTAGAGATACCGGGAGGGGAAGGGGAAGGTGGAGGAGAAAGGGAAACCGATCACAATGATCTATGTATAACCCCCTCCCTGGGGGACAGACAGAAAAGTGGGAGATATTGGACAGTGTAAGGCATGAAAAATAATTTACAAATTATCAAGGGTTTGTGAGGAAGGGAGGGGAAAAAATGAGCTGATACCAAGGGCTCAAGTAG